AAACATAACCTATAAATAATAAGAAAGTGGTGGCGGCAGATCTGTTAGAATCTGTTCCTCCTTTCAACCACTTGTGTTCTCCTGTTCCTCTTCTATTCTCTCTTCTTTCTCTCACTTTTCTTCTATTTTGTAAACCTAAAACCTATTAGGATTCAAGACTGATTACAGTCTTGATCTTCTACTATCATATACCACACAAAGCAATAAGCCAATCCCTAGTAGGTTTGTACCTCTCTCTCTCTCACACACACACACACACAAATATTCACACAGACACGTGGTTAACACATTATCTCTCCCTATTTTAACCCTCTCCTTTCTCCTTCTTTCCCTCCCTTTTGTAACTCTCTGTCCTCATCCTTCTAACATGACTATCTCCCCCTAATTGACAGATACAATTACACAGTAACCAAATCAAAGCCCTCTTCACTTTGCTTTGGTAGATCAAGCTATTCTTTGAGTATGATCGGGCCCTGCTAAGGTTCGAAATTTTGACATGATACACCCGTATCAGATGTATCTTACCATATCGGGAGGTCTTCAATATGCTTTTTTTAAGTGTCAAGTAACATAAACACTGGTCCTCTGTGATAATCCCAAAGAAAAAAATATAATAAAATGAATAGTTTTTGATAGTGAAGAAACACCCAATATGCATGTTCATGTGTATTGGGTGTATCAATACTTTGAACCTTGGGCCCTGCAGTGGTAGAACCCAGTAAACTGGGCATATTCCTTTACATTTATTCTCTTATGATTTTTGTTACTTTGTTTAGTTTAGTGATGGATATCAAAGCGAGTCTTAGTCAGTAGTCACTCAATTAATCCATTCATGGAGTGGTAGTGGCATGGTAGTTGTCTGTTGAGATTCTATATGAATGGGCTCTTCTCTAGGTAGTCTTCTCTCTAAATGGGCTTATGCATTCAAATTTCCAACTCCTATGATCCTGCTCTATATCCATTCAAGTTCCTGCTCCATGTTTTGGTTATTTTAGTACATAACTATGAAAGAGGCTTTGCCTTGAAGTCGAACAGATTATCATAAAGGAAAATTGTTTTGGTCATGCCTTGATTTGTGCCTATAATGCCTACCAAGTACCAAAAATCATAAAATTATCATCATCTACACCTTATTCCAACGAAAAATCAGAAAATACAAGTTAATATTTTTCTCCTGAAGTATCTTATTACCTGCTTGAAATTTCCAGGATACACAGGCAAACTCTGGGCTTACTTGTGTAACTCTTCACAAAAAATTCCATCCAGTAGTAAAATTAGATATGTGAACTCAACCTAAAAGTTCAGCTTCCTGGAGTAGACTTTCAACAAGTTTTTTTACCAGTGAAATATTTTGCTGCCACCTTTGGTTACTGTTGGGATTTTATGTGTTTTTATAATAACTTGTGCTGTAAGGGCATTCTGTAATTTTTCCCTTTTTTATTTACTGTCACTTAAATATAAATATTCAAGAGGGCGCCACCAGCATAGATTTTTTGCCTCTCAATCTTTTCTCTTCCTCTCTCTCCTCTCTTCCTTTCCTTCTGTTCTCTTTTGTTTGCTGGTTTCTAGTGGATAATGGTTACATTTCTTGTATTGTTTCCATCTAGCTCAAAAATTTATTGCAACTGTACATTGGTCTTGGATCAATGGGAAAAGTTATTATGTTGCTAGTTATTTTTTTTGTCATCAGTATGGAAGTGACGAAAATTTCCAGTCTTCAAGGAACTCAACATTAAACTGCAAAGACATGGTTAGCCTAAATGACATGTTATATTAGATTCCCCCTATAAATTTAGTGTTGCCAGTGTTGTTCATCTGATGTTTTAATGATTTCAGTTGGGATGTTGATGGTTGGTTAATGGATTGTACTGAGGGAGTAGATGCATAGACTTCAAAAATGCATGTGGGGTAAAAATATAGCTGTTTTCAGAACCCTTTGTCAGTTGAGAAGGTTTTGACATTACTTTCACTGGCTCAAGATGCACTATTTGTCACAAAATTTAAGGTGTTTTGTGCATTCTGGCAACAATTTTGTTTTTGATGCATCTGCAACCAAACCTGCAGGTGCAGCCATGTTTGCTCCAATGGTTAATCCTTATGATTCAGCAATGAGTAAGGAAGAGAGACAAAGAACTTGGGAAAAATGGACATTTAGAAGGAAAATGATGTACTTTCTAGCCCGGAGGTTCCCAAGATTTCTTCCTTACTTCTACAGGCAGAGCTTCCTATCTGGAAAGCATGGTCAACTTGACAAGTGGTTATCACTGTCACTAGGAAAGAAGGTGACTGCATTACCACTTTCACTTCATTCCATTTGATCTAAAACCTTTCAATATTAACTAATTGTAATGCCAATACTAAATTCCAATGTTTTCAGTTGTCATTATAATTTTTCATTATGCTTTCCTCAGCTGGAAAGGCTAATATTACAGATTGACAGAAGATTACTTGTCTGGTCTGTTACAATATTCAGGACAGGATTCTGATAGAGGACCCAAACTTTGAAGAATATTGGCAAAGGGATGTGGAGGAATCGATCTGCCAAAGAAATCCAAGACCATTTGTGGAAGAAGCAGTATTACAGGTGTCAAATTGGGGTTTTAGCCTTGCAGACCTTCAGGTACAGAAGAAGCGTCAAGGGAGAGGTATCCTCCCTTGGCTGAAATCCATTTACAGTCAAGCTGACCTGGAGTTGACAGGATTTCTTGGACCAGTACACATATGGCAGGTCTGTGCATCTTCCTTTCCAATTTATGTTTCTTTTGGCTAAAGTTTAGAATAGTTACTACAAGTGTTAAAAGGTTATTTATCTTACCAGAAATGTTAGTTTGAGAGGTATCCTCCTTGCCTTTCTTCTTACTGTTCAGTAGTTCAGTAGAATGCAAAATGGGTAGTATATATCAAGGGTAATTTGTTGAATAATGTTCCAATGCTGAACAGGGGATGGATGATGGGGTTGTGCCACCATCAATGACCGACTTTGTACGTCGGGTTCTACCAGAAGCCACAGTGCATAAGCTCTTTGGTGAGGGCCACTTTTCATATTTCTGTTTCTGCGATGAATGTCATAGGCAGATATTCTCTACTCTTTTTGGAACACCACAAGGTCCACTCAACAGGACAATGGAATTGGATCAAACCTCTTTTGGGGGAATGGATGCACCTGATGAGGTGTCCCTTACGATTGATTCTACCACGTACTGAAGTATAACTTGGTTTAACTTCAAATTTTCTGGTATAGATCTGAATCAACAAGGAAAGAAAAGGAACTTGTGTAAATACCACTGTTGTGCTTCATTTTCTCATGGAGCAAAAGTGCCTACAAGTTTAGTCATTTTTTCCCATTTCTACATCCTCACGGGCGGGTGATGAGCATGGACTACATGGAGAGTTTTGAATGAGATATCAAGCAAAGTCAGAAGAATTGGAGCAATTTCAATCTGTGTTGCTTCCTTGTCATAGAAATGGTTATTCTAATTCGCAGCTCTTATTATATTCTTGTAAAATTTTGAATTCGACAAGCATTTCTGTACTGCAAGGTTCTTAAGGAACAAAAGTGGAATGCAGTTACCATATAATACGACCTGTTAAAGTTATTTTTGTGCCCATTGCAGCATATAGAAACTCTTCACTTGTCAATTCCACTTTGATACGGTGAACCATATAATACGATCTGTTTTTTTGGTAAACCAAATAAAATAAATCAATTCCACTTTGGGTTTTCATTGCATTTAAATTCACTTCTCATTTGAAAATATCCTCATCTATATCAATTTGCCGTTAATTTTTAATGGATCGGCTAATGCATTGGAAGTGCACGTTTTTATTGTCTAAAAAGTAAACCATTGTCCTTTTTGTAAGTGTTTATCATTAAACTTCGGTGATTCTATTTTGAAATTCTAGCAGTTTTAAGTTAGAAAAAGCCGTTGCAAACAAGCCATTAACCTTTGGTGCATTGTTTTTCTTGTTGTGAGTTCAAAAATCAAATCCGAACCATCTGATTTGGAAACACAGATTGGCTAAAAACATGGAAAGCATGTTTTCGGGTTGTACTTGTCTTCCTTTTTTTATGGTTTCTAAAACTGAAACAAAAACATGTTTCTTGAATTTCTGGTTTGAAAACATGTTTTGACCCAAAGTTTTTAATACATCATATTTAATTTGTAATATTTTATATTATTTGAAGTAATATGTATAAAATATTTGTAATAAATATACAAATATATATATATATATTTATATTTATATTAAAATAAGGAAGTCTAGAAATTTTTTCATTATTTTAATTTTTTATTTTTTTAATTTCATGTCATTTTTGAAACAACGATGCATTTTCCCAATAACGTAAATAATCTCTTATTCTAAAATTTTTCCTAAACTACCTCCCCCACTATCCCCCACTTTCTCCAAAGTTATCTCTAATTCCTAATTATCTTCTAAATTATCTCTAATTCCTATTTATCTCCAAAATTATCTCTAATTTAGTAGAGAGTTTATCTCCTAAATTATCTATAATTCCTATTTATTCTCTCCCCTACTTTTTATCTATATCTATCTAAAGAAAGTTTTGATTAAAAAATTTAGGAATTATTTAAATATTTTAACAAAATTATATAATAAATTTAAAATATTTATTAAAAATATAAAAATAATTTTATATTTTTATAAAAAATATCATGAAATTATGTACTAACAATTTAAATTATGTTTTTTCGAATTATCAATTTAAATGTTTTTCAAATATTTAATAATATGTAATAGCTTTAAATAAATAAAATTCAAATAACAAAAAAATTGACAATTTTGTATATTTAAGTAATAAATTAAAATAAAAATCTTTAAAGTAGAAAAATATTATAACATAATATTGAAATAAATAATAATTTAATATATTACAAAATTAATACTGAAATTATATAATAATAATAATAATATAAATTATGATTTTATGGATAATTAAATTCAATAAATATTTAATATTTAAAATTTAAATATTTAACATATTATTTAAGTATTTAAATAATTAAATATTTTAAATAACAAAATATTTAACACAACTAGATTTTAAATAGTTAAAATAAACAAATTATGTAATAAATTTTAAAAAAATCTAAAAAGTAGAAAAATAATTATAACATAATATTGAAATTAATAATAATTTAATATTTTCATAATGTTGAAAATAACTAATTTCACTTATATCAAGTAATAATTTGAGAAAATAACTTTCAAAAAAAAATAATATTTATTAATAATAATTTTAAACTATTAATCTGTATTTATTATATAATTATATATACTAAAATTAATATTTATTGTATTTCAGCAATTATTTATTGTTTTTTGTAATAAATGTATTTTCAATGATTAGGTATAAATTTATTTTGTTTTGTTATTTAACATAAAACTTTCAATAATTGTTAGAGATTAAACTACTATTATTGAAAATTTTAAATTTAATTTATTGTACTTATTGTATTTTAGTTATAACTTATTGATTAATATTTATTAATATTAAACTATTATTTGATATTATACTATTTATTGACTAAGTTAATATATTTTTAGTACTTATTGTATTTTTGCAATTATTATATTTTTTCATTATCAATATATTTTCAATAATTGTGTATTTTCGCTATAAGTTTTCAACAATTATTAGAGATTAAACTATTGTTATTTATTAGAGACAATACTATTAATTTAGCTTAAACTATGAGTGTTTATGAGTTGGTTCGGTTTGGTTGTAGGCTATTTGGCCAATCAAATTGACCTGGTCAGGTTGGGGAGTTGGTCAGCTGAAACTGACTGACCTTTTGTGAAAACCAACCCAATCAAGTTGTGTCGTTTGGGTCGATTTTTTGGTTTGGCCAGTCAGTTCAAAAGATTTAAACTAAATAATTTAATTTATTTTTAAAAATTATAGTGCAATTATTAAAAAATAAATTTAAAAATTAGATTTATGATATATAACATTTTAGACTATGAAATATGGGAAATTTTCTACTTTTTTATATTACAAATTATATTTAAAATATTAAATATTAATTTATTTCCATGGTTAAGTCGTTCAATTTTGGTCGGTTTACAAATGGCCAAAGTGAAACTGATCCAACTTGGTTGAATTGGGAATTTTTTGAACCAAAGCCGACCTAAAATACTAGAAAACCGACCAACTCAAGTTGAGTTAATCGAGTTAGTCGGTTTCATTAGTTTGATGAATAAACTTAATTGAAATTAATTATTGTTATTTTTGTATTATAAAAAAATTATTAAAAGTAGTATATAAAATATGAATAATTATTAATTATTTAAAAAGTTGAAAATATAAAACAATTGTATACGCATATGTGTTTCTATTAGGGTCATTTACTAGAACACACCTTATAGTTTTACGTATTTACTTAAACCTACCTTATAATTTTCATTTTATTAAAACATCCTATATATTTTACAACTTATTTATTTAATCAACCTTTAATTAAGGAGTGTTTATTTTGCCATTAGGCCCATGTTTTTTTTTATTCTAAAAATACCCTTAACACTTTTTTTTTGTGTAGAAAACAAAATTGACCAAATATAGCTAATATAATGGTTGTCCGTGTCTTATTAAGGGCAAAAAATGGTAATTTTATTTTTATTTTCTTTTGATCAATACTGTCATTTTCCACTATCATCTAATGAAAGATTGATTAAATCCATCGCAAATTATAAGTGGTGTTTTAGTAAAATGCTAACTATATGGTAGATTTTAGTAAATCCACGAAACTATAAGGGGTATTTTAGTAAATGGCCATTTCTATTATTTAGCTTTCACTTAATAAATCTCGTGCATCGCACGGGTCCCCCGCTAGTATCATTTATAATATGTTGTATATATATAGTGTGCAAGGCCTGCAAACTTTGAGGCTTGATATGTGTGCCTGGGCTGGGCCAGAACACAAAACTTAGGCCCAAGCTTGGGTTTTTTTGCAAGGCAGGCTAGGCTGGGCTAGAAATACTTTCCGCTACATGAGGCCTACTCCAAGTTGGGTTCAGGTTAATGGGGATCAAGTTGCACCCCTGTTAGATAAGAAAAAAAAAAACTAAAAAGTGAATATGACAAGAAACAAACGGGATTTCCTACTCACTCTCTACCCATCGTGAATTGCAACCACACATCTCTTTTATGAATTGAGGGATGTGTGGCTGCAATTCACTACGGGTAGAGAGTGGATTGGAAAAGTGAATAGGAAATCTGGATTCAACAAGAAAGGTCGTAGACATTTTTGAAGGAATTAGGAAGGTAAGCGACTTAGTGGATCATGAGTATCGATGATTATGGGCTGGGCCAGTCTGTGCCCTAACTGGATTTAACACATATGTCAAGAGCTATAGGCCAGGCCCGGATCTGTATGGGCGGGGCCAGGCTGCCAATGATCACTACTGCATCGTGAGTTCGAAAAACCCTGCAAAGCAGAAGCAAACACAAAGATAAATGGGCTGTGCCATTTTGTGACGGTTCAGCACAGGCTTAGCCTTGCCTACGCTTGGCAGGCTTACGTTAGGGACATGCCTGTCATTTT